AATTAAGAAATGGATTCTGGGATCCATTGTAATAGTTATGTGAAAATCTCAGTGCTCTTATTTCTTAAAATTTGAAAAAAGCCAGGGAGTTCGTAAAATCACCAGGCAACAGATTTAAATCAAGCAACAGAAACTGGAAGTGAGGAACTTATTGCTACAGGATATGATGAACACTAGATAAATAAACATCAAGAAAGGAAATAGATGTATTTATGGACGATGTGTGTTTTGATGGCTGTTTAACAGGATGGCTGGAGATAACTCCAGCTCACAGAAAACCTCAACAATTAGTTCAAAAGCTGATAATGTACAGGCAGTATCTCCCAGTATTTGCTTAATGCCTTTTCCCAGAACGTCTGCCACTTGCCACTCTTATAAATTGAACACTGGGGCAGATAGATGGGCCAACTGTGGTAATTTTTAAAATATGAGGCAAGCATTATTCTTAAATAAATTGTCCCTTCCAGTAGCAGGAAGGTGGAAATCTTAAAAAAAGCAAATACAACATTAATTTGCTTTATTAAAATGAGGTTAACACTGATTTTGTAGTAGTCTGGTTTTATCAAAACTCTTTTCATATGGGTTTACATAGTAATTATGGAAGAAAATTTTCATCAATAAATGGAGGGCTTTTGCTCCTTAATGCCCTTTGTTGATATTAGTATTAAATGTTTAGACAGTGATGAATGGCTTAGGAAGCTTCAATTCAGTAGTCCAAAAGCCCACATATTTTAAAAGTGCCTTTCTCCTTTAAACCCAGTTTGCTGATTTGGAAGGCAGTTTTCAAAGAACAGCATGTTTGGTGCCTGAAGAACAGGGAAGTAGCTCTTAAGTTCTTTTGAACATACCATCTTTGGGAGTTACAATTTTTATCCATTTGTATATTTGTTTTCAGTTTTGCTTAAAAGTCTATTTGACTTCATATTCACTGGCAGTCTTCTCCCAGTGCAAATTGGTTTATATCAGATATTTTATACTCAAGTTTTCTGACTCTAGATATTATATGGTAACCTATATTTCTTCTCACATTGTTTAATTTAACAGTTGTTTGGGGTTTTTTGTTTGTTTAAGAAACTCTGAGTTTATAAAAGACAGCTTTTTGGAAGTTGGTCTTTCATGAACTCAGCAGTGGACCTTTCACTGCTGAGCTTAATTCTTTTAAGATTTGAATACTAACAGAGTTGTTTTCCTATCAAAGCTGCCTGTGCTAACCAGCGCCCCGACCTATTTGGCTGTGCTATTGCCCAAGTGGGAGTGATGGACATGCTGAAGTTCCACAAGTACACCATTGGCCATGCTTGGACCACTGACTACGGTTGCTCTGACTGTAAAGAGCAGTTTGAATGGCTGTGCAAGTAAGTGCCTTTAAAATACTTCTGTGGTTGTTAAAATGCATAGTCTGCTCAGCAGTTTCAAGTTGTCATGATCAGTGGCTGTTCTAAGAATTATTTCATCCTTTCCCACACTGGATTTGGGGAGTTCAGCTTTTCCTTACAAGTCAGTTTTGCATGGAAGACTCTATCTCTAAAGTCCTGTTTAGTCAACTGGTTGTGTTTTCAAAGACCTTGTTCTACTAACAGCTTTAACAACTTGTAAGGTTTCCTTTCTGAATAGTGACTCCTTTAGGCTGTCACAAGAGAGTATTCTCAAGTGAACCTCTGCATAAATTGTGGGTTTTTGAATGAGGGTGAGACAGTCACCATTGTGAATTATATTATACAATGTAGATGGGATTTATTTGCAGGAATTGAATGTCAGTAGACCGTAACATTTCTTAGCTCCTTGCTGAGAGCTCTGTAAAGACTTTTTTTTTTTTTTTTTTTTTTTAAAAAGGGCGGGGAGAGAGATGGGAGAGAGAGCTGTGTGAGGACAGAAATTTATCTGCACATTGGATATGGCTAATAATGAGTGTGTTAGAATAATTGCCATAATTTAAAAATATTTTTCTGGAACCTCATCTTTTGTTATTGCATTCGTATTCCTTTAATAATGAAGATTGACATTACAGGAGAATGCTTCAGACACACTAAACGTTTTGACTGGTCTGAAATTTAATGGAGTGTTTAGATATTAAAAAGTAAATGTGCTGCAAGTACACTGAGATCTAACTTGATCTAAAGCATTTATTTGAAAAAAACAAACTAAAAAACAAAACGGTCAAGTCCAAATTCTAGATGATCAGTTGGGCCCATTGTAATTAGATTGTTTCAGAACATCCACTTGTTTAATTTAATCTTTCAGTGGCAAGCACATTTTTGTAAATATAGTGCACAAAACAATTTTAAAAGTTCATAATTAATCTTTTATCAATAGATAACTTAGATATTAGATAATAGATAAAATATTAACTGTTACAAAAATTATCAAAATAATCTTCATGATTTTGGACACTGAAACTTGCCTGCACATCTTTGAATTCAGATATTCTGAAGGTGTAAAGTAGAAGCAAAGTTTTAAATTCACTGTGTGATTAGGAGAAATTAGGAGTCACTCTGTACCTATTTACACAGGTTTACTCACAAAATCTCAATGCATAATTTTAGAAACATCCTGTATGGCAATATCTGAAATATTTCTTTGCCTCCTTTTCAGCAGCTGGCAATTGCTTATCAAATGTAGGAAGATATATATGTAATGTTGCTTAGAAGTTGCCTTTATAGATATCCAGAAATACATAAGGCAATTAGAATGGCATGTAGTGACTGTCATTGAACTTTTTCTCAAAACAAATCATAGTCTGTAAATTCACTTTCATTGTTCCTTAGATGAAAATGAGGAAGCCAGAAATCTGTTAGGTTCTACATTCAAATATTGTTACGTGTTCTTAAAAATAATTTAGATTTATTTAATGGGTACTCATACAAATGGTAAATTCATTCAAAAATAAAGCAAAATTTCCCTCTGTATTTCTGTCATGAAATAGGAGGAAAAAAATAGTATCCTACTCTTGAGTTAAAGAATGTAACTAGCTATTCCTAGGCATAGCTTTGTCTAAATGAAGTACAGAAGGGTTAGATAGAATTTTTTGTGACTTACTATTATGTTGAATTTCTATTGCTAGAGAGTCCTTTGTGTTGAGATATGTAGATACACCTTTTATGTTAGGTTACAGCACCTAGAGGATATAAATTCTACTGCAAGGAAAACACATTTTTAAAGTTAGATTATTCATTGCTTAAAAAATAGGAATCAAGGTCATATGTCAAAAGCAGGAAAAATTACAGTTCTCCTTTCAGTTTCCTGCATGGTGTTCCCTCAGAGCACATGAGTGTTCAAAGGTGGTCTAACTATTGAAGGGAGAAGCACTTGTGGCTTACCATCAGAGACTGTTTCCAAATTTGCATGGGAGGAAGCCATCCACATGCAGAGCTGGACTCCATATGTACGCTGGGAAAAGTGTTGATTTCCCCATGTCCCATCAGGATGGATCCTGCTATGGACTTGATGGCTTTTGCTGTACTTTCCCTGTGGTCTGTTCCTGATATTTTTGGCATTTCTGTGAGATGTATGCATATGCCTCTCTCAAATTAAAGTACTTGCTTCCCATTTGAGAGTCAGAGATCTGTGGCCACCACCACGTATCAGTTGCCAGCAGTGCGATTCTGATTTCTGCAACTGAGAACTGTAGTATTCTGAGTGCCATCAAATGCCACTGTGGCTGTTTCAGTGTGGGAGGACCTTCCTGTTGGGTCTTGAGTTGAAAATATATAAATATTTGTTTGCTCTTCTCAGGTACTCTCCACTTCACAATATCAAACTACCAGAAGAAGATGGCATCCAGTATCCCTCTACGCTGCTTCTCACAGCAGACCACGATGACCGCGTGGTCCCTCTCCATTCGCTGAAGTTTATTGCCACTTTGCAATATGTTGTGGGCCGAAGCCGTAAACAAACCAATCCGCTTCTCATCCATGTTGACACCAAGGCTGGGCACGGAGCAGGAAAGCCAACTGCTAAAGTTATAGAAGAAGTGTCAGATATGTTTGCTTTTATAGCACGATGCCTAAATCTTGATTGGATTGAATAGGCAAAATGCTTATTACGGTCTCCTTTAGGAAAAAAGGGCTTTAACACCATTTAAGATCAACCAGACCTACTACTTGGTGTAGTACTTACATTTAAGAACTGCAGTTAAATATTTTATTGATCCAACCTGCTATGGAATTTTGATCTTCTGTGCTTCCTTCTTTTTGGCATTTCTTTGAATTTCTTTTCTACTGTGTTCCAAAGTACATTTTGAAAAGCATGTTCAAATAAATAGCTGAGCTACAGTTGGTGCTGTTGTGAACATTTAGATTCCAGAGTTAGTGCTAGTTGAGCTTATTTCCTGTAAACAGTTTTAATGTATTTTGCACCTATAAACATATTCAGATCATCTGTAATTAAATGTAAGTACTGTCCACATACAAGAATTCTGAGCACACTTTATTTACACAGTCACTTATTTAAGAACATAAATTGAAGGTGTTCAGTGATAACCATGAAATACTGAAGAGACAGTAATCTGAGTAATGAAGTAAAATATTATTAAAAAACTTGTATTATGTGCTGTTCATAAGCGTGTTACAGTCTATAATAATGAAGTTGCTAAATTGTTCTTTCTTTCCAAAGAGACTTCAAAATGTCATCAGTTTTCTCTTCTGTCATTTATTTCCACACAGAAGAGAAAATTGGAGGCTGGAAAACTTGAAGAATTCTTAGATTCTCACTGTAATCTCAGTCAAGTTACACAGATACTCTTCAAAAACTCGTCTGCTGTAAGCTCTTCAACTGTTTCTGAAGAGTAGACTGGACACTGGTTTAAAAAAAAAAAAAAAAAAGGCTTTGTCCGGATTGGTCAAGTTCAGTTTTTCCTGATGCCTTTGACGGAATGTTCTCTAACAAGCCAAAATCCGAACGTGTGTATGTAACCTAGTTCTGGCTGCAGAACAAGAGCTCGTAGTCAGACTCCCTGATGATTTGACACAGGCACAGTATTTGAACTGCCATTTCCTATCTTTCCCATCTAGGCTGTAGAACTATAAAGTAGATGTGTGAGTATTTGCTGTCTAAACTCTGATGCACTGCAGCAATTAGGGTTTGATTTTGCAGAGCAGAAAAGTGTTCCAAGAGTTATTATTAGTCTTGTTACCCCTCCAGAAAGCACTGCTGCTTCTCAGTTTTGGATAAACTGATATATTCTTCCAGAATCATGGTTGTCTTATATTCATACTTAGACCCTAAGGCCTGTATTTCAACGCTGGGCTCAGGAGTTTCATCTCTAAGCAAAGAGTGTCTCAGCCCAGGAAGAGGAGAGAGTGGTATTTAAAAGAGGAGTAGGCTGCTGTAAACAGCAGCAAAATTAAAAATAAATTTGTACCAGATTCACTCTGTGTTCCTCTAATGCTCTGGGGCTTCTGCTCTTCTGCTGATTCCCTCTGCAATACAGGAAGGATCATCCCTCCCAGGCCCTTATTTTGCATAATTCAATTTTAGGAGGAAAAAAAAAATTAATTTCTGCTTTCCTATGAAATACCACACCTAAAACCTGTATGTGATCTGGGGTTATTTGTGATCCATGGGCATTACAGTTTTATGATATACTTTATGGACTGACACATTCTGATCACAGCATTGAATTAAACAGAATAGGAAGCTGAGAGGGAGGGTAGGGTTTTTTTTCCCCTCCAGGCTGTGAAAACAGGGTTCAGATTCAGCACCCCCCTTTTCCCAGACATCTGTGAACTGCTTTATATGATCATCTGGGAATTTTCAACAGCTTCCCTGCATGGGAAAAACAAAGCACATAAAGCGGTGCCGTCTCTACTTGTAACACCTCACAGCGGCGGCATCTGGCCCTTTATTGAATGTTACAGTATCATCAAGAGGGCAGAGCTTCACCTCTGAGAGGAGAGCTTTGCAGGATGGGGCATGTCAAAAACATGTTCCTCAGGCGTTCCTGAAATAGAGCTGAACTGTCAGTGCATTGCATTGCAAAGCTTGGGCACAGCCACCTCAATCATCTCGTCAGGTCTTTGTTCCTAAAAATGCTTTTCCTTGTTCTCCAGCTGCTCAAACACAAAACTTCTGGCACAGGTTAAAAATCATTCATTTTCCTCCTGAAGCTTTCTGCTGAAGCTGAGTTCCCTGAATGGCTCAGTATTGGGGAAGATGACCTGTAATGTGGGGAGTTTGGAAACAAACATTTCCCTTTGAGTGGCAGTCAGTGGTGTTGAAGGTGGAGCTCACTTACTGGAGACACCGCTCACAAAATAAGAAGTGTTCAAGAGTGTTCCTTGTAGAATGCTGCTGTGTCTATTGGGAAGGCATTGTGTTTCTGTAATAGGATCTTAATGTTGACATTTTAATTTATCTTAATCAGGTATGCCAAGTCCAGGATTCAGGTTCCAAAAAAGTGATGTTGCAGAGCTGCCCTAGTAGCTGTGTTGCTCCGTTTGGTGCTGAAAGGGTCATGCTCCAGCTGAGATCTGTAATTAACTCTGAGCAAGGAATGCTCTTGGAATACAGTGGAATTTAAACCTTCTCGGTTTGGATTAAATAGACCTGGAGCCAAACCATTCCTACTGTATAAAACCTAATGAAATCTCTGTTAGTCTGGTTTCAAGGTTAACTTCTTTTCTGTACAGGCTATTTTATGAAGAGGCTCTGTATTTTATACCTTCTATTTCCAGTATGTGAAGCAAAATTCACTAGCTGGGCAAGGTAACCTCCTCACAACTATGTACTTTTTCAAAATTGTGTTTCTTAGAAAAATAGATACCACTGTTTTGTGCCAAGATCAAAACCAGAAAAATCTTTAAAGTCCTGTGAGAGGCTTATGCTACATGAACCAAAATCTGGTTTGAAGTGGAAATAAATTAATTTTTACATATTGCTCCTTCTGATAATCTTCATAACCAACGTAAAGATATCTTAGTTGTCTTTGCTCCCATGAGAATACATTTGCATCTGAGTTGATTTATGTGAAAAAGGTCAGAAGTATTTTTAAAAGCTGAGAGTCTTCATATTCTTCACAGAAAAAAAAAAATACTTGAGTTCCTTTGCATTGGAGTCAGTTTACATTTTGGTAGCTGGAGGGAAAAAAAAAAGATACTGACTTTAGATGGATGCTGCACCCTCCCCAGCAGTATAACCACCAGCATCTAAGGGTGGAAGAAGGGCAGCTGACCTGTGGATGTATAAGAATAAAGGATGCTCAAGACAGTGTTTGGCGACACCTGTTCCTGGCACCTAGGACTTGTGTTTCACCAGGGTTGTCTTGACTTGGCTCTGCTTTGCCATCTGTCTGGAGGAAGGCAGAAACATGAGCAGCAGTACTTTTGGATTCGATATGGCAAGCAACAGCTTTCAAACATCTATGGTGTCAGGTCATTTATTTATTTTTAGCCTGAGGTAGCTGCTCAGGATTGCCTAAAGATCTGCTTATAGACTCTTCCTGACAGCCTCTCCTGTGAAAGGGGTTTTCCAAGCCAAGTAGAATTTAGAGGGGAGGTCTGAGGGAGGGACTTGGAAGCCAAGCTAATAAACAGCCACCCAATTTTCTGCCAAGCTCTTCTACTTTGAAGATCTTCAGTAGACAGCTTTTGTGCAATTGCCTCTTTGTGCAGACCTCTCAGGATTTGGATGGTCCATGCTGTTTGAACAGCCACGTTTGGCAACTTGGTTCATTTCTCCATATGTTCTTTTAATTACTTGTCCCTTACTAGACTGCATACCAGGAAAAGAAAAAACATTCCTCTGGCTTTTTTTCTCCTTGCCCTGGCAAGAGGGGAAGGTGGGGTAGCCTTCCAGTTCTCACCTCTCTGAAGATAACCAAGGTGTGTCCTCAAGATAACATTATTCCTGAGTAACCATTTCTGAACAAGCTCTGTCTTCAGTTGATTCACGGCAGAGGAATCCCAGTGATGGACTCCCTCAGTAGAAGCTGGACTAGCTACTGACATCTGCAGAAATGAATTGATATTCTGACTAGGAGGAGTGTGATTTGGCCATTTCTCCTGATTTTCCTTAAGAAGATTAACTGAAAATTCAGCATTTAAAACCAAAGCTGAGCAATAACATGTCAGTGAGAATCTCTAGACTGTAGACTTCCCTCTGCCTCACTAGCAGGAGTCACAGAGGCAAGGAACAAACTTGGTGCTCATGCCTTTACCCATAGCAGGGCAAGTTTAATGTTGAAAGTCTGAATGGCAAGAGTCAGTTTGTCATGATTTTCACTAAAAATGTTTCTAGCTTCCTCAGCAGCTGCAGCACGAGAGCTGGAGTCAATGGATGGAAGATGTCTCTGCAAATGTGATGTTTCTACATGCACTGCTTCCAATACCTTTCAGGCCTTCTATGTGCAAAAAAGGACAGAAACATTATTCTTGAATCCCTTAACGTGGGGAGGCACGTGCTGTTTTAAATAACATTCTTATTAGGTAGGTATCCAGTAGTGCTAACTGAAGCATTGAATTATGTATTTGTCTATAACCTAAACAGGGCAATATTAGGCCCAAAATATAATCTCTAATTTTCATTTTGGCATCAGTCAAATACTGGGGAAATAATTAGAAGAAAAACAATAGGAAGGGCTTGATTTTGTAGTATTCTTACTGGTTTGACCCTTTCAGTACTTCAGGAGACTGGATGAACATTGGCTGTGTGGGTTCCAAAATAAGCATCCCCCCAGACATGGAGGGGGGTGGAATTTCCTGGTTTTAGGAAACAAGGTTGTATTACAAATGTAAGATTGTGCACAGTGAAGCTGCAGACCAGCTGTAGGTTGACCTGCATGAAATACCTTAATTCAGCAGGGTCACCTGGACTCATAGGTGGTGATTCTGTTTAGTTCTTAGCACCATCGTTTTCATGCTGCTCTTCTTTCCCTGTGAAGAGCTTTACTTAACCTCTGACATCTCCTCAGTACATGAACAGAAGACGAACATTAAGATGTATTGCATTTCAGTGATGCCATCAAATATGTTTTCCTCTTCTGTGGGACTTGGAAAGTGTCAGGAGACAAGAGCAACAGCGAAAAAATTGTTTGCTTTGCCACCTAGCAGTCACTGAACAACTGTGAGCATACTGAATAAGAGAGGAATTTATTCATTAGTTAGTTATACACCAGTTAATGCAATTTTTAGAAGTTTGGATGAGAATGCTTAGCTGGTGAAAAACTGCTTTCTGGGCTGCTTTATGCTTTTAGGCCATTTCTGGTGTGCAGCAACAGCATGTCGTTTGGATAGCAAATGGCGAAGTGCTGTAATGCGGACACTTGTTTCCTTCCTGGGAAAGAAACTGAATAAGGGGCTCAGGCATTTCACTCCTCAGAACCCTTTGGAGCTGTAACAGGAGCAGATAAACAATACTTAGAGCCTTCTGATTGTTTGAAATGAAATGGTGTTATTCCTCAGCAGAATATAATGTTTTCTGGTAGGGTTACATTTCAGAGGAAGCTCTGCTGTAGTAGAACAAGCTTTGAAATGTAGGTATGTGCAGGTATCTTTCAGTAGCTGGGCTAAGCTGTTAAATGCTTCCTTCTTCATATAGTTAGTGTTAATTAACATTCTGCTGCTG